TATTTAAAACAGCCCACCAAGTAATACAGACTTAGAGAAGTCTATTGCCAGAATGACTCCCCTTCTATGACATAAATTAAGGAGCAAAAATGGGAGAAAGAAAATGAGTATCGCCCTAACTGGTTTGGCTCAGTGGATAGAGCATCAGCCTGTGGACTGAAGGGTCGCAGGTTCAATTCTGGTCAAGGGCATGTACCTTGGTTGCGGGCACATCCCCAGTAGGGAGTGTGCAGGTAGGCATCTAATTGATGTTTCTCTCTCATCAATGTTTCTAACACTCTATCCCTCACCCTCTTTCTTCCTCTCTGTAAAAAATCAATAAAATATATTTTTTAAAAGAAAATGAATATCTACAATACATTTTTTCAAGTAGTTAAATGCTATTTTAATCAGGACTAGATTCATTGCTCTTGTGCAGATTAATTTTATTTGTCAACTTGGCAAAGCCACAATAACCAGATTTGGTCAAATATTATTCTATTATGTGAGTGGGGCTCATCCAATCAGTTGAAAGCTTTAATAATAAATTTTTTTAACACCTTCTTGGAGGAACAGGGAATTCTGCCTCCAGGCTAGGATTGCTATTCTTCTCCCAGATTTTGGGCTTACCAGACTTGACAGTTATGTGAGCCAATTTCTTAGTATCTCTTACTCTCACTCTACACACACACACACACACACACACGCGCGCGCGCGCGCGCACACCTACCTCTCACATCCCATTGGTTCTCTGGAGAACCCTAATATAACCCACATACCAACAAATTCATCATTCAGTAAATTATCTCGTCACCAACTATATATCATCACCTTACCCTCACTATGCTAGCTTATCCTATGTAATAAAGAGCTAATGTGCTTATTAGACCAGATGACAGAACGACCTTCCAGAATGACCAGTGGGCGGGACCAGGGGGCCACAAGGCAGCCAAGGCTGCTATGGGCCAAGTCCCTTGCACGAATTTTGTGCATCCGGCCTCTAGTCTATATATATAAAAGTCTAACATGCTAAGTGTCCAACTGATCGGTCGACCACTCAACCAGTCACTATGACCACGAGGGGGCAGACACTCCAATAGGCAGTTTAGCTTGCTGCAGAGGTCCGGCTGATCGAGACTGGGTGAGACGGGCCGGACACACCCTGGAGCCCTCCTGCAGTCCCTCTCCGGCCAGCCGACCCCATCAGCCCCAATCAGGACTGGATGAAATGGCTCTGATTGGCCCCGATAGCTGGCCAGGCGAGGGAACCCACCTGTGCACGAATTCATGCACCAGGCCTCTAGTTTTTTGATAAAGTGATATCTCAATAAATGAATCCTACAGAAATAAAAACAATCTCCTTAATCTTACAGCTAGCAGAGTTGATAAGAAACAGAACATCTTTCAAAAACTACAAGCCAAACTCATCAGGTAGCTGAGTGTCTTCCACAAACATCTTTTAGAAGGGCTTCCACAGGCTTTCCTGAACCTGAATTACAGAGGGCTAAATAACATCAGGAAAAGTGAAATCAATTGAGTTTCCCATCACCACAGTAGCTCATCCTCCCCTGTGGTTCCCATTCTCTTTCAGCTCCCTCATCAACACATCAGTTCCCTAGTTATTCTGCTGACTTGAATATGGTGTTGAGTTCCTCTAGAAAGTTCAGTATTTCATTTTTTCTCTCTTCAACACCAGAATTTCCCTTTGGTTTTTCTATAGTTTCTAACTCCCTATTGAGACCCTCTATTTGTTGAATCATCGTTATCATACTTTTTTTTAATTCTAGACACATGGCTCATTTAGTTCTTAGAATATACTTATAACAGCTGCTTTAAAAATCCTTGTCTGTAGAATTTAACCGTGGAGACAATCAGGAACAGCTTCTATTTCCTTGTTTCTTCAATGTATCACATTTTCCTGTTTCTTGGCAAGTGTCATAATTTGATGTTGAAAATTAAACATTTTATATAATATGGTATAACATCTCTGGCATCTGTCTTCCTACATAATGTGAAGTTTTACTTTAAGTCTTGCTTTTATTTTAAAGTCTGGTTTCCTGGGGTTACCCATCTGTCCATGTACCTTAGTATTAGCTGATGATTCAACAGAGAATTTTCTCGAATACTCTAAGTCAACATAGGCTGTCATCCTTTCCAAAAGAATCTATGTGTGGATAGGGGAGCACATTCAACATTCAGAACATTTTCAAGTCTCCCGAGATTTTCATTCCCCCTGGACCCTTTCATGGATCCTCTGCACATACATGAAGCCACTGCCTTCACAAGTCATACATCCCCTAGACCAGCCGTGGGCAAACTATGGCCCGCGGGCTGGATCCGGCTCGTTTGAAATGAATACAACTAAAAAAAAAGGACCGTACCCTTTTATGTAATGATGTTTACTTTGAATTTATATTAGTTCACACAAACACTCCATCCATGCTTTTGTTCCGGCGCTCCCGTCCAGGTTAAGAACCCA